GGATATGAAGAGACACACACGGGCGAGTGATGCGTGTACACAACTTCCCGCAAAAAAATCCCGTCAGGTCTAAAATATAAACACTTATAAATAGGCTTACCATAGTGAATGCAGAAGAAGGATTAATGATGTATTGACATTATTTTAATTTTGTTCATTTTGAATAATAATAAGTTACATGGTGTACCTCCTAAATGAAATCAAATGTAAAAAAATAAATTATTTCAGCTAGTTGCCAAGGAAACATTTATCATTTTCATTTAGTTGAAGTTGAAGTACTAAAATAACTAATATGAAAACTAAAACAAAGAAAAGAAAAATGAATCAAAATATTTTGACGTATTAAAAAAAACAACTAACAAAATTACAAATATTTTAACTAAAATTAAAGTAAAAAATAATTTGAATGAACAAATTATAATAGTTGGTTTCACTTTATTTTGATGGTCCTTTTAACACATTCTGTTGACTAAGTAACGTTGCACATATACATAACTCTGTTATAACAGTAACTGTAGTTTAATCACACATTTGCTCTGTCTTTTCCACTCAGTGATTGTCTCTGGCGCTCGTCCTGTGTGGGTTTTTCTGTGCAAGATAGTGTTGATGTTTTGTTTAGAATTCAACCACCGGTTCTGCAGAATGCACGAGGTGAGAACGCTAGCTACTTTTATGAGTCATTTGGCATTTCTAGGCAAACCACAAGATTCAGAACTTGCTGACGAGGTCTTTATTTTAATCTACAAGGAAGATGTGTGTCCAGCCCAGTCTGGGTTCTCTTCCTGTTCTTTTTATCTGTTATGAATTTCCCCTGTTTTTTATTTCATTTTAGTTGTGTAAAATTGGTGTTCTTAAAGACATATAGTTCACCCAAAAATGCAAATATGTGCGTGTTTGTGTGCTTCTTTGTTTTTCTCTCTTTTTTTCTCTGTCTTTTGATTTTTGTTGTCTTTCTTATTTCGTCTTTTGAATTTGATGGTGGTTTTGGCTAATAAAAACCAAATAAAAACATGTTTAAAAAAAGAAGAAGAAAGAAATAACACATTTTTATTTACTCTCGTGTCATTCCAGACCTGATGTTTTTGCTGATATTTTTCTGTGGACGGGAGAAATTTGGCCATGTCTTTAAATCTCCAAAATGGACGAAAAAGTGGCATAAATATTGTCCATATGACTAACTAAGCCTTTACATAGCTTTGTGTGACAAGAGAACCCACATTTATTTATTTATTCAAATATTAAACAAACCAGCCATATCATGGTTCAATTCCTCAAAAATGCATGAACTTATAAAATGTGTTCTTTGAATAAAAGTGTCTGCCAAATGCATAAATGTAAATGCAAATTAACAACTTTCCCTTCACTGCTGCTGTCAAATGTCATCGCTCATTCAGAATATTTGGAATTTATATTTTCCGAAGATTTCTATGCTAGATTTTCCCGAGCATTTCTGACATTTCGGCCTCACACAAATCTATTGCGTGACTTTAGAAGTCACATGAACTACTTTTATTATGTTTTACTGTGTTTTCTTTGGAGGATTTGCTCACTCTCATATAGAAAAGCTTTATGTTAAAAAAACACGTGTTAAAAATATCCGCATACGGTGCAAATCAGCATACGGACCAACTTAAGGGTGAGTAAATGGCGGATTTTTTTATTTTAGGCAACCTAACCCTTTCATCAGAGCATTACCAACTCATTAGATCACTTGTTTCAGGATGAACCTTTAACGCTCTGCATTCATGTTGTTTGTCTGCTCTATAGCCATTGGCCTCTCTTTTATTTTTAAACACCGTCCACAGTGTGACATGCATCCCATGGGTGGCTATCTGAAAAAAATTGATTATTGCTCTCAGGCATCCCTAAGAGCTTTGTCCTCTCTTCTGGAATATTAACACTCTGGATATGTATTGATGTCTGATCCGGTATGGATGTGCATGTGTGTCTGGTTGAGTGTGTGTGCGTGCGTGTGTCTGTTTGAGTGTGTGTGCTCTCTATTCACCGCCTGTCCTTGTGTGCCAGTGCGTATTTGGACATGAAGAGCCGTTTAGAGTCCTCCTAACAAATCAGCATTGTTCTGTTGTGAGCCCAGTCCTTGGCTCCAGGAGTGTAAACAGACAACTGTTGGCCGCTGCGTTTCCTGCCAAAACTTCTTATGTGAACATACGCTCCGAGCCCATTCCTCCAAACACGGCCCTCCGCAGTCGGAACGCGCGGCTATTTCTAATTCCGTACCATTGTCAAGAGAAACGTTTTATTCGAAAGCAATTGTAATTAAACGAGAGCCAATTCTCACATCGCATTGCTCCCGTGTTTCTTTGCATCTTCTCCATCCTCTCCTCCCCCTCACTTCATTATTTCAGGGATGCGTCCATTTTTGTTCCACCTGCCAATAATGGTTTCCACCCACCGGCGCGCAGATTTCCCCCCAATTACTGCATGTCACCCTTTCACCCCGCAGCCCCCTCCCCCCCGGTCCATTCATTACGCTCGCTGTCGCTCAGTCTGCATCAGTCTCTCTCCCTCTTTCTCTGGTCACTCTGTCCGTCTTCTTCCCGTCTTTGTGTGCTGGATTAATATTTTATGAGCTCCTTGATGACGGGTGTTCACTGCTGGGCAAACAGCCCCAGCTGAGCCCCCCCCAGTCTCCCCGCATGCCTGCTCATCAGTAAACCCTCAGGGGAGCCCTTCTCTCTCAACTCTCTCCCCTTCACTGACTCCCTCTCTCTTTCTATCGCTTTCTTCTCCGGCTCCAACTAAATACAATGAGCCGTCATCGTTTCTTTGCTGCGTCAAGGAGATTTTGTGCTTTTGTGCGAGGCAGGGTTATTATAGTTAACTTTGTGTTACTTGAAATGAACTTAAAATTTTAATATATTTTATTTCAGTTAGTTTAATTTGATGTACTAAAATAACTAAAACTGAAAAATTAATAAAAATGACAAAAGCACAAGAAAATGACTCGATCTTTAACTAAAATTAAAATGAAAACAGAAAACGTAAAAATAGCAACTATATGGTTTAGTGTAATATAATAATCTCAATGATACTTAAATAAAGGCCCGTTCACAACAAGAACGATAACTATAAAGATTACTAGCGATAACTATATTAGTGTCCACCAACGCACAATATCGTTCTGTTTATTCTATACGTTGCAGTTTTGTCTTTTGCTGCTTTCTGCTTGAGCTCTTTAAAGCTGGATGGATTCTGATTGACTATAATTCATCAAGTAGAAAAAAAAAATAGTTCTGAAAGTGATTCCAGCCCTATTGTTTCTCTGTGCCGTTATAGTGTTAGTTGTGTGCTGTGATCTCTGCTATTCTTTTATACTTAAAACGATTTTTAGAACTATATCTTTATCTTTTATATAGTTATCATCCTGGGTGTGAACGGGCCTGAACATGGTTTGGAATCTGGATCCGGTTACATAAACTTGCTAAAAATCAAGACTGATCTTAACTCAATTACATAGTCAATTACATAAAAAGATGAATTGGTCTAATTTGATTACCAAAAAGTAAGACTGATTAGCTCTAACTACTATAATTGCTAGTTGGTCAGATTAGTTCTTAGTCATAACTTAGCAGCTACAGTATGTTTATGCATCTGGCCATAACTGGTCATAACATTTTTGAATCTGAAAAGTAAGACTGATTGCCCCTTGGCAAACTGCTAGTTGATCAAACTATTTCTTAAGACAGTCTTAGCCCAGAGGTTTATGCAGCCGGCTGCTGATTTGAGCTGAAGATACTGAAGCGATTTGCAGAAAGGTGCAAGTGTTGTATGTTGGCACTAATGATTTTCCCACTGGTGTATTTAAAATGTATCTCTTTTTAAATGCGCTTGTGGGTTGACACCGTGGGAAATGTCACAGCCGGGTGACATTTGACAAATGAAGCCCGGCGGATGGCGAAGAATCTATTAAAGGCGGTGCGTTTGAGAGATCTGCATTCGTTTTCAATTGGTATTGTGTGAACCCGACAGTATCCGTGTCAAAACCCGGTGCAACAGAAACACACGGGTGTCAAACCCCATCTGCTCTCTCCAGCTGCGGCGCTGAGAGGCGTGCCCTGCCCCCCTTCCCATCACCCCATCACCCCAAATGCAGCACGCTTCACTTCATGCCCCAATGTGAGCATTAAATATTGAGGAGATGTACTACAGGCTTAAGTGATGATTTTGGGTGGATTAAACTTTGGTTGGATTTCATTTTGACCCTCTATTACATGCTCCTTAACTAAATTAAAGTAAAAAAATATATATACTTTAATTACATTAGCATTGAAGCTTATCTTAAAATACTAATAGTAATGTTATTATGAAATAAATCTTTGTTTTCACAATCCTAATTTTACATATTGCTTCCTAAAAAATATTTTTGATAATTATAAATTGTTTTTTTGGGAAAAGAAAGGATTTTCATATACATACATTAAGTGTTTTACTAAATATATTGTTAAACTATATTTTGAAAAGAAGTTGAGACGTTCTCACTTTTAATAAATGCAGATTTGTATTTATTAAGATAATTTGCAAATGCAACAAAAACTCACAATACAAAATAAATATATTCTGGCAAAGTTTCATTTTCATTAATGGTGCTGTTAATGATTTAATTTGAGCCATTTTGCTAACTTCCTTCAAATGACATGTCACTGTCAGCCAACCCTGTGTCAGCAAATCAGATTGATTGACAGGCACAGAGTTGCTTCTGTGATTGATTGCATTTCTAATTGACTAAATATCACTCACCATCATAATGATTTCTGTTATATCTGTCAGGTAATAAGGAAATTGTATCTATTTTATTCCTCAAAAAATAAGAGCCTTAAATGAAAAGGAAAAACTGCTAATATGAAAAGAAAATGTTTAGTCTATCTGTTCACCTGAAGTACCTCTCCGTGAGGACAGGCCCCGCCCACTCCCCAAGCGCTTCATTGAAAACTGTTTCATGACGTGTGTGTATTAAAGCCCCGCCCTCTCTCCCTCAGAGCCGCTTTGCGCTGCTCGCTCGAGTCTGAGATCCTCCACAACAATGTGGCGCACGCATAATGGGATTTACCGGGTTCACTTTCAAACGCTTTTGTTGTTGTTTTAAAAATTAACGAGAGTTTCGCTTTGCCTTCCAAGGGGATGAAACGCAGTGCCGTTGAATGAAGTGAGTAAAATAGTTCGCTGGAAAACTTTTCAGCGTTTATGCTGTTTTTGGATTGTGAGCGCTGCATTTGTTAAACTGTAAATGCTTTAAAAAACACTTTTCAGATTTTAAAGATTAAAATAAGTGCATTTCAGTTAAAAATAACATTGTTTTGGGTGAAATGTTTAGGGTTAGGCTATGTAATGTTACATTGAATGCCCAATGAATAAGTTCTTATGATCTTGGGTTCATTAAATTAAGTATAGTGATTTGGAATAATGTATTGTTTCCTTTTCCTGTACCTGTACCTATTTCATAACTTACCATCAGAGCACTGAATATAATGCATCTTTGTTCAGTTCGTTGTCCTGTTTATTTTATAACCTTTCAGGAGCTTCACTGCACTCTGGGACAGACCTCTGAGAGTATTCATTGATTTTTGCTCTTGCATTCTATTTCAAGCTCTACGAGCTTCACTTTGATAGGGGAAAAAACAACCAAAGAAACATGAAAAGCAAAAAGGTTTTCATCTTTATTTAAATGTCTGCCTTTGAAATGTAGTTCGCAAACATTTTTAAATTATCTAAATTGCTTTTGTTCTGTAATGAGTTTCATTTTTCTTTAATGCTTTTGTTTATAAAACTTTACTGGGAATGATTTCGTCTCTCTTTGTAGAAAATCACACAAATGCCAATGCATTTGAAACAACATTATCCGACATCTGCGTCGGCAGCCTATTCTCAAGACTCCAATTAGTCCAAGGTGACTAGTCAAAGACCTACAAATGCCACGATAACCTGTTGTGGAGTGGATCTAATGTATTCAGGCTTAATTGGAAGATAACTAGATGTTTAATCACACATTTACTCAGTGGTTCTCCAGTCTCTGTATCAGCAGCTTGCGGTTATTGTACTATTCCTCCGGGAGGTGTGGCGTACCACTTTAGGAGTGGCGATTTGGATTGTGTCTTTTCAGCGGCCGTACCAAGTTTCATGAAACCTGAACATCCCTTTTCACCCGCTCTTTCTTTTTTCACGCGCTCCCCCTGTTGTTATGACTCCATTGTCTCCTTTCTAAATGCCTCCTCCCTTTTAGTCCCTGAGGAGTGGTGGGTTTTCACCTTGTGTTCAGCATATGGGGGGCGTAATTAGCTGCTCGTGTTGACATTCTTTTATTGTATCGTGCACCCGGCACCCACAAACAAGTTTTTCCTCCCTTTAATCTCTAATTTGAAATTGCACTCCTGCGTATTTGCATTTTCTTTCCCTCTTCAAAGACGGCCCTTATCTTGTAAAATGTTTGGCTTGTAAACGCTTTGGGGAACCTTCATTCAGAGTCATTATTGCGCTACCCAAACTGGGCAGACAAAACATACAGCTGTGTTTTTTTTTTTGTGTGTGTGTTGTTGTTGTTGTCGTTTTCAGCCTCTAAAACAGCTATTAAATAGGGTGTGTAATGTACGAAGTAGCCCGTGAATTTAGTGGCAGCTCCCTTCCTGTCGGCTTCACTGGAGTGAGCGTGTTTATCTGCCCCATCAAATAATTAATGTTGCATTTTTATGCACGCAGATGCTTGTCAAGGTGGTGATGAAAGCAGTGTGGGCCGCTCGCGAGTGAGAGTCTGGCGGTGTGAAAATGAGAGCCGAAGGTGAAACCTAATAATCATCATCATACGGTTGATGGTTCCAGAACTGTTTTTAAAATTCACAGAGAGTAGACACTTCTCGCACTCATCCAGCTTATGAATATAGATGTGCACCTTTCTAACCTGCCAGAACTGTTGAATTCAATCAGCGTAAAATTGAAACGGCCCTTTTAAAAAGGTTTGCTATGATTACCTGTAGGTTGCTTTCCAAAGAGCTACTCTGTGTCATTTTCCTGTAGTTTCACAGACTTTGCTTGTGATAAAAGCTTGCTTGAGCATCATTATATCTCCCATTGTGGCCATTATGGCTCATTACCATCAAAATAAGATGTCATCATATTTGTTTGTTCAGAGAGGTGATAATTACAGGGAGCCGGAGATGATCGGTTGCCTGGCTCCCTTATTCCGCCCGCAGCCGTGTTTTCTCCACCAGAAATTCCTACAGGACCTAAACGCACCCTGCTAACCTCTTGCTCTTCTTGCTGAAACGCCCTGATGATATCAGATATCTAGCAGCGTGCATGAAATATGCGCGAAATATTCATGAGCTCAGTTGGAGAGTATAAAGAAGCAATGTAGAGAGGAGGCTTTGCTGGAAACAGGACAGATTGCAACAGAGATACAATGATAGTTGAGTTGACGCGGCAGGAGGGAGAAAAGATTGAGTAAATATGAAACGGCTATAAAATATTAGGAGTCTGAGTAGCATACAACTGTCAGCGATGAAATATGCACGAGGTTACATTACTAATCGCCGTATTTTATTACACTCCCGCTTTCTGTTCTTCAAACAGCTAGATGCTTTCTCTGTTGTTTTTTGCCTATCTCTCTTTTTTTCAATTTTCCCCACCTTCTCTTTCTCTCTTTCCATATTTCCCAAAGTATCACCCCCCTCCTGCTTGGGTGTAGTATGGAAATGAGAACTTGCCCACCCTCCCTCCGCACAGAGGTGGTGATTAACCACTGCACACCCCAGGCACACACACACACACTCTCTCTCTCTCTCTCTCTCTCTCTCTCTCTCTCTCTCTCTCTCACACATGCACACACACACTTGGTGTGCTGACACTTTCATGCCTGGCATCAAAGAGACTTGTAAATCCCAGTCACTCTCACTCTCAGTACGCATTCAAAAACCCAACTCTGTAATAATCAGTGGCGTCTTTGAGATGTGCCCATCTCCACGAGACATGATGCGTGTTGCGAGATGCTTTGTCTCGCACCAAATTTCCGGGTTTATTTCCACCCTGACACCTGCGTTAGCATGGCACAGTCTCACCTGCTGCGACGACCCCACCGATCTGCGCCCGATCTGCTGTGTGTGACGACACGTATGCGATCTTACCTTATGACAACTAATGAAAAAGGGACTGTAGTTTAGCAAAAATTGCTTGCTTTTTTAATCAAGGAAAATTAAAGGGGATGGATGAAAATTTAATAATTCTCGTGACTTCCTTTAATCTGTGGAGCACACACACAAAAAAATATATTTTTCTTTTAAATATAAGTTTCTTTTATGGTCCATGCAATAAAAGCCAACAGACTCAAGTGTTGCCTAATTTGTTAACATTAGTAAGCTACATTAGTTAACATTACCAATGAACAGCTGTTTTTTTTAACTGATTAATAAATACTGAACTGATTATTGTTAATTAATACATTATCTGACACTTATGATATTATGTTGCTAAATGTTTAATATCTATCTGCCATGTAATAGCCGGTGATGCTGAGATGGCAATAAACTCAAATACTACTACTACTACTACTACTACTACTACTACTATCATTAACTAATGAGACCAAATCGTGTTCCACAAAAGAAAGTAAGGCAGGTTTAAAACGACATGAGGGTGAGTAAATGATGACACAATTTTGGGGTGACCTATCCCTTTAATTTACTGTCCGCTGGTTCTTGTATCGCTTTATGAATTTAGACGCTGCGCTTTTAAATTATCTGAGACATTTTAACGAGACACAATGATGCATTTTGTGAGACACCTTGTTTTGTCCCATCAGATTTCCTGGTTACTTTCCACTGAAATCTCGCTGCCCCCACATGCTGTGACCGCTCAGCCGACCTACGCCCTTTGTGTGGCATGAACAGACGCGAATATGATGCATACATCTTTTCTTAAGAAGTTCACACCTTGAGAAAGTGATCCAATTAAGCAAAAATGTCATGACTTGCTTATTTTATCAAGCTTTTGCTAGAAGGGCGTAATTAGTATTTATGAATTTACATGCATCTGCTTGTAAGCAGAATTTTGCATTAAAGCTTGAAGGATGTAACCCAGTAATCAGATTTGGGGGGTAATTTTGAGAAATGTTGAAGTCATTTAAATGTCAATAGTGATCAATCAACATTTCTGAATGCTTTGGAGATGCATGCTTATCGTCTATGGTGGTTACGGCCACTTAAACCTAAAAATAGTAGCCAGACTATATTGTTCTGTCAGTTCAGACAGTGTGCTTTAAATTAGGAGAGACGTTTTTGTCTCGTGTCAAGCCCGCTGAAGCGATTCCTTCCTCTGATAGTGCAAGCACACAGCATGGGTGGGGTTCGCAAGTCTGTCTGTTGGCTCACCCCCATGGAGGAGTCTTGGACTCTGAAGCTTGTCTTATTTTTTAACACACACTTTTTTTTTAATGTGCCCGCTAGATGCTTTGTGTGATGTCCTTCAGTTTTTTGTGTTTTCATGTGTGGAAAGAGCCTGTCTGGAAGCATTGCATGTATGTGTAAGCTTTGTGTCTGATATTGTGTTTTGCGTATTATGCACTCTGCAAAGAAATTAGACACACATGCACGCTATAATTACAATCGTGTCTGTTTCTGGGGGTAATGAGTGTTGAGTGAGCTTAGCAACCTGCAAGTATGCGTTTCGTTTTAATATGCTGCTGTGTAGGAGAGGAAGTTTACAGAGATTGGGAACGCACACACACACACAGAGAAGAGGATGGGCGGCACAAGCGCTTCCAGCCAGGGTCAAAGGTCAGCCTGCAATCGAAATGACTCTCCCCGAATTGGTTGCACCTTTCGGGAATGATAAACTCTGCTGCCTTCTATTTAAAACATGTTTACATGTTGCAAAAGCTGTTATTAGCGATATGTATGAAAGATAATAGCTATTGGTCTGGTTTTACAATGCAATGGTGCAAAACCAACCTCCATTTATTTTCACCCTTTGTCAAGTCCCAGTTCTTTTGTGTGTGCTTGTGTAAGGAAGAGCTCGCCTCCAATATATATCCCAAGCTCTTTTTCCATTCCTCCTCACAAAGGCAGTAGCTATTCCTCTTTCCTAGTGAATAGGGAGTGTGTTCTCGCTCTCTCCCATGATGCCCCGAAACAGTTATTACCATCTAAGTAAAAAAAAAGG